TTTCAAAAATGTAATTTAAAGCATTTCAAACAGAAACAAAGACTAGTAAAATCAACCCCCATGTGCCCTATAAGCTAGCTTCAAAAACTACCAACTAATGGCTAATCTGGGAGCTCTGGTTGCATAGTGCCTAGGGCATTTGACTGCTAACCAGAAGGCTGTTTCAAACCCACCACCCACTCCTCAGAAGGAAGATTGGGTAATCTACTTCCGTAGTGATACTGCCTCAGAAACCCAAGGAAGGGTTGCTATGAGTTGGATCCAACTCTATGACAGTGAGTTTGGTTTGGTTTTTTTGGTTAATGGCTAATCTTATTTTTTAATTTTTATATTATTATTAGTATTTTTTTAATCTCTTCACCCATATCAAGCCTACTTCTTTATTATCCACCTATTTTCCCTCCCTCCCCCTCTTCTCCCATCTCTGGTAACCAACAAAGGAAGTTTCCTTCCCTGTGTAAACCTTTCCTTGACTTTTTATAATAATGGACTCATACAATATTTGTCCTTCTGTGATTGACTTATTTCACTCAGCTTAATGTCCTCCAAGTTCAACCACGTTATGAGGTGATTTACTGACTCTTCATTATTCTTTAATGGTCTGTGTATAAGACACTGTGCTACTTCGGTAGTTAGACAGAATTTTGGTAAGTAATGATTAAGATATATTTCTTGTACCCCAGGAACTTACATACACAATTGGGAAAACAAAGTGAAAGCACATGAAAAATCTGATAACAACATGAGACAATAATATAAGAGGCATCACCTGGTAGGTTAGAGTTACTGCCAACTAAGAGAGCTAGATTCTCAAAGATATGGATCTTTCTGGATCCTTATGTTAATCCCCATCTCTGGAAAGGATAGCTTTAAGACTGGTACATTTATGATTGGTAAGTCTAGTGATGGAACTGTTTGATCCTCAGAGGAGCTGTTGGGCCTGAGTGAGGACTCAGTAGGCCTTCATTTCACTGGAAAAGAATTCCTTACTCAAAGGGGAGAAAACATAACAGGCTAGGAGGCTGGGGAACTTCTGGTTGAGTTAGAATTTGAAGTAGGTGTTAAAAGAAAGGTGGAAAGTGGCTTTATTAAATTTGATAGTGCTCCCAAAAAGTGTGAAAATCTCTGATAGAGTATACTGTGTTCTTAAAAAATAATCTGTCAAAAAGATAATACCACAACCATAATAAAATATTCATGGGGGAAAATCATAATCTTACTACCCCAAGAAAACTCTTTTCCTTTTTGCATGTTACCTTGTAGTGCTTATCCATAGGCATGTAGTTTTACAAAATGGATTATGTTGTTTTCAAAATTGAAGTGCCTTGGGAATGAATTTTATTTTATTGAATTTGTTGGAAAAGCTCAGAGGTAATTTAACATTTTCATATTTGTGTGTGTGTATATGTGTGTGTATATGTGTGTATGTGTATATGTATAAAACATACCATGTCCTATATGTATGTGTGTGTGTGTGTATATATATGTGTGTGTGTATATATATATACACACACACACACATATACACACACACACACATACATATAGGACATGGTATGTTTTTGTCGTTAGGTACATGTAACACAACAAAATTCAAAGAAAAAAGATATAGGTAAAGTTAAAAAAGAAAACTCTATTTCCTCTTCCAATCCAACCCAATTGTCTGCTCTTTTATTTGAATTTATTGACATATCATGTATTGGTTTTAAATTAAGTATGTAGGGGTGCTAACTGTGTACAGCCTGGAGTCCCTGGGTGGTACAAATGGTTAACATGCTTGACTGTTAACCAGCAGGTTGGCATTTCAAGTGCACTTAGAAGCATCTTGGAAGAAAGGCATGGCCATATACTTGGGAAAGATCGCCACTGAGCCCTCCATGAAGCACAGTTCTGCTCTAACACACAGGGAGGCGCCAGGAGTCGGAATCGATTAAACTGTTTTTTTTTAAGATGAGCAAATATATATAAACAGCAACATACGTATATAGGTTGGGCAATCCTACTTCCGTAGTGATACTGCCTCGGAAACCCAAGGAGTGGTCACTATGAGTCGGGTTTGCCTCGACGGCACATAACAACAACAACAACATATATATATCATACAAATACAGCTTAATGCCTACTGCCCTTACAGTTGATAAATCTCTTAATCCCTACAATGAGACTGTTGGGTAGATAGTTGTACCATCCTTGATTTTATGAATGGTCTGGTGATCTGCATTTCAAAGGTCATAGCCTTGGAAACACAATGGAGCAATTCTACTCTGTACACATGTGGTCACCGTGAGTTGGAATCAATTTAATGACAATGAATAATTTTATAAATTATTAGGAAGATGAGAGGCAGATTTGTATATATGTTGTATATATATGGGAGCTCTGGTAGCATAGTGCCTAAGGCACTTGACTGCTAATCAGAAGGCTGGTGGTTCAAACCCACCAGCCACTCCTCAGAAGGAATATGGGCCAATCTACTTCCATAGTGATACTGCCTCAGAAATCCAAGGAGGGGTCACTATGAGTCAGGTCCAACTCGATGGCACATAACAACAACAACAATGTATATATATATTTATTGACATAAAAATGGTGTCATACTATGCATATATTTTGACTTTTAACTGAAGTACAATAATTATCACCTGTGTACCCAGCATACAGATCAAGACTATTACCACTGGGCTAGACACCCCTGCATGCCCCTTCCCCATCACACTTGCTTCTTCCAAAAGTATCCACTATCCTTACTTCTAACAGCATAGATTAGTTTGTCTGCTTTTAAACTTCATCTAAATAGAATCATTTGATATGTATTCTTTTTTATTTTTATTTTTCCAACTTTTGAACTCAATTTATTTTCAGCAGAATTTTACATTGTTGAATATTTCTCCATACTTTCTTAGCATGGCTCCCTGGATCACACACTCAATTGGTTTCCAACAATTTTGACCATCCCTTCTCAGTACCCTCTGTTGGTTCTATCTGTTCTCGTCACCTCTATACACTGGAGTTTCCCAGAACTCGGATGTTAGACCTGTTCTCTACCTACACTTTGTCATTCAATTTCTGGTTTTCAGTATCATCTAAGATCATCCCAGATTTGCATCTACAGCCTGGGCTCTTGCTTTTAACTAACTCATATTGCATTTATAGGAGCTCTGGTGGCACATGTCTAAGGCATCTGACTGCTAACCGGAAAGTTAGTGGCTCAAACCGACCAGCCACTCCATAGAAGGAAGATGAGGACAACTACTTCTGTAAAGATTTACCGCCTTGGAAACCCAATGATAGACTTTATACTCAGTCTGGTTGTGTTGTTGTTGTTAGTTGCCATGTGGTCAGTTCTGACTCACAGCAACGTTATGCATAACAGAATGAAATACTGCCCAATTCTGCACCATACTCACAGTCCTTGCTATGCTTGTACCCATCTTTGTAGCCACTGTGTCAGTCCATCTCGTTGAGGGTCTTTCCCTTTTTCACCTACCCTCTGCTTTGCTCAGCATGACATCCTTCTCCAGGGACTGGTGCCTTCTGATAACATGACCAAAGTACAAGAGACAAAGTCTGGCAATTCTCACCTCTAAGGAGCATTCCAGCTGTACTTCTTCCAAGACAGATTTATTTGTTCTTCTGGTAGTCCATGGTATTTTCAATATTCTTTGCCAATATCACAATTCATATGCATCAATTCTTTGGTCTTCCTTACTCATTGTCTAGTTTTCACATGCTTATTTGTTGTTGTTAGGTGTCGTCGAGTTGTCTCTGACTCATAGTGACCCTATGTACAACAGAAAAAAATACTGCCTGGTCCTGTGCCAGTTCCACAATCCTTGCTATACCTGAGCCTATTGTTGCAACCACTGCATCAATCCACCTTGTTGAGGGCCTTTGCCTTTTTCATTGACCCTCCACTTTACCAAGCATGATATCTTTCTCCAGGGAATGGTCCCTTCTGACAACATGACCAAAGTAGGTGAGACCAAGGCTGGCCATTCTCGCTTCCAAGGAGCATTCCAGCTGCACTTCTTTCAAGACAGATTTGTTAGTTCTTTTAGCAGTCCATGGTACTTTCAGTATTATTCATCAACTCACAAGCTTAGACTCTTCTTCAGTCTTCTTTATTCCTTGACTGCTGCTTCCATTGGTGTTGATTGTAGAACCGAGTAATGTGAAGTCTTTAACAACTTCAATCTTTTCTCCATTTATTGTGATACTTCTTATTGGTCCAGTTGTGAGGATTTTTGTTTTCTTTATATTGAGGTGTAATCCATACTGCAGACTGCAGTCTTCAATCTTCATCAGTAAGTGCTTCAAGTCGTCCTCACTTTCAGCAGGCAAAGCTGTGGCCTCTGCATATCGCAGGTTGTTAATGAGTCTTCCTCCAATCCTGATGCCACGTTCTTCTTCATCTATTCCAGTTTCTCGGATTATTCACATGCATATGAGGCAATTTAAAATACCGTGGCTTGGGTCAGGCCCACCTTAGTCTTCAAAGTGACATCTTTGCTCTTAAACATTTTAAAGAAGTCTTTTTGCAGCAAATCTGCCCAGTGCAACACGTTTGATTTTTCTTTCTTTTTTAAAATTGTGATTTGTATAAAACTTTACAGAGCAAAATTTGTTTTCCATTCAACAGTCCATACACATTTTGTTTTGTGACATTAATTGCATCCCCCAGAATATAACAGCTGTCTTCCCACTTACTTCCTGGTACCTTTTCCCTGTGTCCTTCTTTCCTAAGCATTCCTGCCTTCTGAGCTTTCTCCCTGGGGAAATGTTGCTGCCTTCCTGTTCTCCCATGGTTGATCTAAGGAGTGCACCTCCCTGGTGTGGTTTACCTCATAGGTCTGCCTATTGTTTGGCTGAAAGTTAAGTCATGGGAGTGAGTTCAAGGCAGTAGATCTTTTCCGAAACAAACTGCCACGTCTTTCTCTCAGAAGCAGCTGGTGGATTCAAACTGCTGGCCTTTTGGTTGCAGCCAAGCGCTTAACCACTGCACTACCATCAGTCCTTTAAATTGACATAGATTTACAAATTCTTTTCCAAACACAATATTGTATCAAATTAAGTACTTAATTATGTCAAATATTTGCTCTTATTAACAAATGTTTATTTTTTTTGCAAATCCTCTACTATTTCCACTTTAAAAATATACCAAGTCCAATGGACAATGATGTTTGTTATTTTTTTATTTGGGTTTTTCTAATTACCTAAGCTTGAGGATGTTTTAGTTGTTTTTCTGGCAATTTGTAGTCTTTGAATTGGCCCTTTCATTGTTGTACAATTTTTAATCTTTTTGTTGACATGTAGCAATTATTTTGTCTATTAATCAAAATATTTGGAATATTATAGCTGTTAACATTTTCTAGTTACAGATGTTGCAGAAAAATCTCTCCAAGTTTGTGGAGTTTCTTTCATGTGTTTATGATATCTTTAATTGTACATGAATTTCCAATTCTTATGTGGTCACATTGATTTGTCTTTTATGGCCTCGGAGTCTTATGCCTTACTTAAGAAAACATTCATCTCCCCAAGACTTTAAAGATAACCTCATATTTTTCTCCTAAAACTTTGATAGTTTTGTGTTTTGTTTAGCTCTTTAATCTATCTGGAATTTGTTTCTGTATTTGTTGAGAGGTACAGCTTTTATTTTTTCCTAAATATATACATTTCCCAACACCATTGATTGCAAGGAAACGCCTTTCGTGATTTCTTTTTCATGATGATACCATTCCACAAAGATTTCTGTATATACAGTAAAACCAAACTCACTGCCGTCGAATCGGATCCAACTCATAGTGACCCCATGTTGGGTTTCCAAGGCGGTATCACTACAGAAGTAGATTGCCCAACCTTCCTTCCGAGGAGTGGCTGGTGGGTTTGAACCACCAGTCTTCTAGTTAGCAGTCAAAAGGGAAAAGAAAATAATGTGATGAGAAACACAAGAACCACTAGTACCACTAATGGGAACCATTAACTGCCTTAGTGAAAACCAGTTAGAAATCCTTGGCACAACTTCTCGGAGTCAGTGTCCATTGCAAATAAGAAATGAATGCAGCAGTAGAACCAGATACTTTGTTATGCACACATTAGTCTTGTTTTCTTATGAAAAGCCATAATCGCAGTATTGTAACTGAGATGGCGGTTTTTCAGACTCATTTGCCTGGGGTGGATTTCTTATGTAGCCATTCTGAATGTTGCTAGTCAAGTTGAAATAATGAGAAATTGTTTTGTCAGTCTGGAAAAGCCATCTTAGAATTTTTCCTTCATTGGGACAAATACTTGGTTGGTATGCTTTAATATTATCAACTCTCTAGGTAAAAATGATTCATGTGTTGTTTTAAAAATAGAAATGTACTAAATTTTTGGTTAAAAATGCCATCTAATGCACAGAAAAATTATATGCGTGGCTTTTAATATCAGGAAACCAACTATGATGCTTTCTTCTCAGGCACAGCTGACTACACAGTACATAAACGTGAGGATGGGACAAAGGGAAGGTGTGATTCAAATTAGGAACCACCATCATAAGTTCTTTCATCTTAAATACAATCAGTTGTTACTTACTGGGCACAATTCTTGGAGTTTGGGAGTAATACAGACTTAGAGACTGCATGAAACCTGTAATTTATCAAAGCATTATGAAATGTATTCCTCCAAAGCACCTAATTAAATCTAAATGTTTATAAGAATCTGGGCATTGGGTTTGGACAATCATAGATTCTAATCTCGATGCTTCCATTTTACTCACTGTGTGATCTTGGGCTGGTTAACTTCTCTGAGTCTCAGTTTTTCCAATGTGAAATGGGGGTTTCCTACAGTCATTGTGAGGATCAAATTATGTAATCCATGTAGAGTACATGGTTTGATGTCTGGCACATAAGAAAAACTCGGCTTCTCTTACCAGTCCATATTTTTCCTTTGAATAATTAATTTAGCACAGAGTAAATGATGCTTTAAAATATCTAAGAGAGTTAAATCAGTTTTGAAAGATGTCAGATATACAGGATGTAACCAATTTACTACAGTTACTTTGCTTTAGTGTCTCATGGGACTATTATATCAAAGTGATTTTTCAGATTTCTAAAAGGAGTCCATCTAAAAAACAACAAGAGCTTTGTCAATTGCCTTTTATAATAAAGTATTATTTAAAAGGGACCTCTGGTAGCATAGTGCCTAATGCATTTGTCTGCTAACCAGAAGGCTGGTGGTTCAAACCTACCAGCCACTCCTCAGAAGGAAGATGGGGCAATCTACTTCCGTAGTGATACTTCGTCAGAAACCCAAGGAGGGGTCACTGTGAGTTGGATCTGACTCAAAGGCAATGAGTTTGGTTTATTATTTTAAAAAAAAAATTAATTGTAATTTGGGTGCATATTTACAAAGCAGATTCATTTTACTCTCAATAGTTCATGCATATTTGGTTTCATGGCCCTGATTACAACCATAAAAACCTCTCTTCCCATCTCCTCCCTGTGACTACTCTCTCCCTGTGCCCTTCTTTTCTATGCATTCCTGTCTGTCCAGCTTTCCTTTTATGTGAATGCTGCCCTTCTACTGTCTCATGGTTGATTGATCTAAGGAGTACATTTCCCTAAGGTAGGTGGGTGTATCTCACTGGGTAGGTGTTCTGCTTGTAGTTCTTTCTGCTGTTGGGCTGAGACCTAATCTGTGGAAGTGAGTCCATTTCCAGGCCCACAGGGTAATCTGGGGCCATAGTCTTGGGAGTTCTACCAGTCTCTCTCCAACCAGTAATAATATAAAGTAATAAAGTATTCTTTAGAAAGAATCATAGAGAAATTATAGTTTAAAATGTTGAAGTGAAATAACTTGGAATAAGTGATCATTTTGTCCAATTATTTTATCAATAGGTGAAAATTTGGTTTCAGAACAGAAGGATGAAATGGCGAAATTCCAAAGAAAAGGAAGTGCTTTCCAACAAGTGTATCCAAGAAGTAAGCCTTCAAGAAAATCCTCTCTCAAGATCTGCTCTGGGTTTCCCTTCTCCATGTCCTTCAGTATGGGAAGTCTCCCAACAGCACTCTAGTCCAAGATGGAGGGAGAATTCACCAGAACCTTCAGAAAGACTGATTCAAGAGAGTTCAAGGGCACCACCACTGGAAGTGAATTCACTACAAGGTGCCTTGTATTTGTGTTCTGAAGAAGAAGCTAGAGACAAGGGTGTACTTACTGCAGCTGTCTGAATGGAAGCAGTCCTTCACATTAATTTAAAAGAACACTTAACTAATAATGGACGCTTAAGCCAGCTATCTTGTGCCTCATCAGTGCCTAAAACCTAACACCTTTGGAATGATGCATGTAATGTTTTAGGAGACTTGCTCCAGTGTTCTCTCATTTGTCCCTAGACTCAGGCTTAATTCATAAGTGGAATAGAGTCTGCCAGGAAGTAATGATGGAACTGAAAAGAGTGAGTGCAACTGTTGACTCAGTCCCTGCTCTAAGTATGTGTATATATGTGTGTGTCTGTGTGTGTGTGTACATATATATATATATGTATATAAATACTCATTAAAATACAACAGTAGAAACTAGTTCTTCCTTCAATATTGCATCAATATAAATTCATTTCCTTTTATAGGAAGAAAAATAAACCATTGACTGAATGTTATTAAATTTTTGAAAATCATGTAAGAGCTGGATTTTAGCCCAAACTTCTATACCACAAGAACAAGGTTAAAAATTTGTCTATCTCATATCCATCTGTAAATTAATTATAACAACTCTGCTCAGCAATTCTGATCAAATGAGCCACTGTTATTTACATACATTGAAAGTATACATTTAGAAATAATCCAACCAGCAAATGAGAAAAATTTCCCAATATAATTATTAATACCCTTAACTTTCAAATCCCTGGCCTTTATCAGGCCACCAGCGAGTGAGGTTCCTTCTTAACTAATGATTTTCTTCTATATCTCTTCTCTGAAGGGAGACCAGAGTTTACAAAGTGCCTTTATAAGGACCGCTCAGATAAAAAGAGGGGATGGCTCACCTAAAGAGATTGGAGTTTAGTAATTTTTAAAATACTGTGATGACCAAACAAAGCATCTGGGCCAAGCAGTTTGTGATTTCCGGCCTTGTCTAAGAGAGCCATAGTATCACAATTTTTAAAATGTTCCCAACTAAACTTCAAAACACAATACTGATGGAATCTGTAGTGATGTTTGTTTGCACTTCTCATTATAGACTCATTTTTCCACTTAGGTGGCATACACTATATATATTAGGTTATTTTTATATATTAACAAACACTGCACAGATGTTTTTTGCTTTCTGGCTACCCTGAAATAGTATTATTATAAAATTGCATTGCTGGTAACAATTTGCTTAGTTAATCCAGAAATTTCTATCCCAGGTCCAAGAAGAAATTATGTTTCACTTCGAAGGATATGAAGCAGAAAAGGAAATGATGTGGTTCCAAATTAGGTTATTATTGATCTGTGGACAAGAAACATTGTTAGAAGTTCCTTATGTGGCATGTTGTTAGTAAGAAAGTTTAGTAATGATGGTGGCTTCTAATTTGCTTACTTTAGATCTTAGTATAGATTTTGAAACTTGAATGTTTAGAAAAGGTAATAGATAATGATTTTAATCAATAGCAGGAAGTTATTTTGTATGAGTGGAATTTGAATTGGTGTATGTGTAATTTGTGTCTTTATCACAAGATTTTTTTCTTAAAGGTCATCTGAGAAGTTTGTCTCAGTGCCTCATGATATAGGGAGTCTGAGGAGGGATTTTAAAGCCTATCTTAAAATCATTTAAGATATGGTTTCTTTTCTTTATACATTATTAACCATGTTTACATTTATTGGGTGCCTTCTACGTCCTAGAGACTGTGCTAAGCCTTTAAGATGGATTAACTAATTTGATCCTCATAGCAATAACCCCATTGGGAAGCCTATTACTATCATAATTCGTGTTACCCAGACAAGAGAACTAAGACAGAGTATGGGTAGGGTGATTGACTAAGGGCATGAGGTTAATAAATAAAATTTGCACCCTGGCAGCCAAGTTTCAAATCTTCAAACCAACCATACAGGGTGCACATAATTATGAAATTGTACTCTACCCAGCTATGGGATGTGCTGTAACAGATACATTTTCGGAATTGCAGTGAAATTTATTAAAGAAATTCAGAAGCATGTTGTATTTTATAAGTCTCTTTTACTTGATAGTTTTCTTTCCGCTGCTCTCTACTGAATTTCGAAGTTCAGGAAAGTAAGGAATTGCAAAATCTTTAGCCATGAAGGCTCTAAAAGAGAACAATCCTATTAAGTGTGTGAAATGGAAATGAATTCTTTTATCATGAACCTCCAAAAAACAATAAAATCCTATGTATGGTCATTCCTTCTTGAAATAATTTGAAGATCAAATGAGAGAAACCTATATCATATCCCTCTGATTACTCAGGTTTCAGAAGTGGGCTAATTGGGCTGAAACGATGTTCTCCTACGATTTTACCCTCTAACTCCAAGACCCAGCAGAAGTTTTTCTGTCAGGGTTCTCTCTGCAAGATTGGGGTGATGTTCGAATATATGAATCGATCTTTTAATGGGTTTCCTCTTGGAATGCATTAAGACTTAGGGAAAGCACACTTTGGATGATTATATTAGTGATACTTAGGGAACACAAACACAAACACAGTGCACACATGTGCCTATTGTGCCTTTACTTTGTCTTCACTTACCTGACTTGATGGAGGGAACTGCTGAGCCCTATTATCCTAATAGATGAGGCAGCTCCTTTCTCTCTTCTGTCTACTAACCCTCCCACCACTCTCAGTGTACTTACTTGTGTATTTTTCTCTGTTAACAAGTAGTTTTCAGACTAATGATCTAATAAGCACTAGGACCATAGATGCCTAGAAAAGGAAGTAGTTTTAATTTTTTTGAAGAAAATTGTCAAATGAATCTTAAGCTATGAGAAGAAATACATTTGAGCATCTAGTAAGTTTTAACAAATGTAAATGTTTAGTGTTGAGAGTATATACACACTACCGTGGAATTGGATCCAACTCATAGCGACGACCCCTCCTTGGATTTCTGAGGCTATATCACTACAGAAATAGATCGCCCAACCTTCCTTCTGAGGAGTGGCTGGTGGGTTTGAACTGCCAGCCTTCTGGTTAGCAATCAAATGCCTTAGGCACTATGCCACCAGAGCTTCTTGGTAGTATATAAGATGTATATATAAGTATATATGCTTATATAGGAAGTATATGAGATGATCATGGGATCAGGAGACAGTATAGGCCATAATCATTTATGTCCAATGGGTAGCTTCACTTTCTTAGTAGTAAAGAATGAGGGTTTTTTGTTTGCTTGTTTTTAAATAATGAAGTTTTATTGAGAAACCCAATTGTTTAGTCCAATGTTTCTCAAACTGTTAAAATCCATACATATGAACATATACGTTCCCTTTACATATATTTTCCAAGTTTGAGTCCTATGCCTAGATTTGGTTACGTACTCCATACATACACTTTCAATATTCCACTCCTACCCTGAGTATCATTGATACACAGATTTTTATTCACTTTTCAAATATAAAATCCTAATTGAATATGTTTTTGAAACCACATGTGTCCCTTCTGTCCCTCTTCACACTCTTTCTGATGTTGTTGTTAGGTGCCATCGAGTTGGCTCCAACTCTGTGACCCTATGAATGAAACACTGCCCAGTTACACCATCCTCATAATATCTGTTATGTTTGAGCCCACTGCTGCAGCCACTGTGTCAATCCATCTCGTTAAGGGCCTTCCACTTTTTTGCTGACCATCCACTTTATCAAGCATGATATCCTTCTCTAGGGTCCAGTCCCTGCTGACAACATGACCAAAGTACATGAGATGAAGTCTGGCCATTCTCACTTCTAGGGAGCACTCCGGCTGTACTTCTTCCAAGAGAGCTTTGTTTGTTTTTTTGTCAGTAGATGGTATTTTCAATATTCTTCGCTAACTCTTTCTGATACATTCCTTTAAAAGTCACATACTCCTCAGCATATTCCACAACCCAAGCCTTTGATGACGTGACTTCATCAGACCAAGGTGACCCTTTACATATAACAAAGCATATGCCACGGTGTTGATAAGACTTTAGACAATACATGTGCAGTCATCTGAAATCCACACATTTTTTTTTTCTTTATATTTAAACAAATATTGGGCACCATGTGTGAGACATTGTCTTCTAGTCTCTATGTAAAGAAATATGAGGGACAGCATGGTCCTTGCCCTCAAGCAGTTTATAATACAGTCTTATTGCCAACCAACTTTTGAAATATTTCATGCTGCCTGGTACCGGATCCAATGACTTTGAGGTAAAAAACGATATTCTGACATTCTCCAAAACCCCACCTTACCATGTTTTTTTTTTTTTCCCCATTTGTGGTGCGAGGGTTTTTAAATACTCCTCCACTATTCAGAAAAATAAAGTTGGCTCTTCATTGTTGGTTTTCTAAGTTATCCCTCCTCCATCCAGACCACAGTGGTCCAGAAAGGAATCAGGAAGTCTAGGGGAAGAAATCAATAGCTTTCTTTGGTTAATAGTGTACCCTACTTCTCTATTTTTTCTTTCTAGTTTCTTAGCCTGAGATCAACCTATATCTGTGGGGACAGTGGGCAGAGAAAAGAGAAAAAATAATACAAGTGGGGAGAAATCAGAATGAATACATAGGGAAGAAATACAGATATGAATACATAGGGAAGAAAAGCAGAATTTATATCCTTGACAAACCATTTCTGAAATAAGCAACCCTAAAATCAATAGTACTAGCCCCACAAAAGATGGTTCTTAGCTTCCAGTTATTAGACTCGTTTACATTGTTATTTTTGGTAATAAAAGTAATACATGCTCATTGTAAAGAAAAATACTTTAGAATATAGATAACCAAGTAACATCTATGTGAAATTTCCAGCATCTGGAGAGAATCAACTTTTTTTGTGAAAAATTTCCAGTTATTTTTGTAAGTATGTAAATGTATATGTAAGTATGTTCAAACAATTTGGATCATAGTGTATATCCAGTTTTTCCCGCTATTTTTTTTTTCACTCAGATTTAGAGAGAAAATTTTGTCATATCATTAAAAATTACTTGAAAATATTTATGATGGCTTTGTAATATTCCATTTAGCTCCTTCACTTCATGAGGTGGACCAAAGGATAGGGACTAGGAGATGGCAGGCA